CGAAGCAAGATCGTTCCCTCGTTCGCGATCGTTTTTGCAATCGCGACAAGCAAAGTGCGAAACGTCAAACGCGCGATCGTTCTCTCCAATCACTTAATTCTTAATTAATTATTAATTTCCGCACTTAACGAGAAATTCAAGCTATTCATTGAAGCATCTTCCCGGCGCGGCGCACGATTCACTCATTCGAAGAAATCGAAACGGAGACCGGAGCAGGAGACGTGAATTCCGAGGTTATCGTTTCACTGCGACACGCGGAACAACGATTCCATTATGATTCGGCTGTATCGCGCTTCGAATCATTTATTTCTCACATATGTACATATAATTGACTCACCATTCAATCACGGCGCACTGCAGGAGACCCGCCAAATCACAGCCGGCAGAGTGATATGTACGGCGTCCAGCACGACATTCGACGTTCATTTCGTCTAGCGACGGCATCTCACTCGTTTCAGTCGACACGAAGAAGGAACGGAATATTCGGCGTACGCTCAGCTTGCAACACCCCGTAACCGACTTTCTTTTCGTTCACGAGAAAGGAATTACACGACCGACAACGTCTCGCGATCCGACGTTGAACGCGTCACGTATTTACTTGCGCGGACCGTTGCGCCGCTTGCGCGTTGCGCGCGCCGTGCCGTCGCACAGTCTAGCACAGTCGAGCGAGAGGTCGCACGTGATTGGCTCGTGAGTCGAGTCCCTAGATCTGGCCAATCACGTTCCGCCGCTCCGCGCCGCTGGCGCGGCGGCTCGATGCGGCGGTGTAGTAGGCACCGCGCAGTCCGTACTACTCCGGCCATACTAGCGGCGCCGGCGACGCGACCGTTGAACTTGAAAATTGCCGAAGAACAGCGCGTTTTCGACGTTGTTTCTGACGATGAGCGGACTTGCCACTTGTTTCCGTCAACGCTCGGAGTAGTGTTACCTGCGTCAGTCACTCAATTATCATTCTCCGGAGGAATTTCGTACAGGTAGAAAATGTTTGTGCTCCGCGCGCGCCCGTCACCGTGTTTCGTGCTGTTTTCGGAACGCGCTCGTTTCAGTGATTGGCATTCCTGCTTCCTCGTTTCGCGGGCCGCGGGAATAATTGCTACGCGAGTACGCGCCGTGTGTGTTCAACAATTTCCGAGTGTATATAAGGTGTTTGTCGGAATGAATAACGTTATTACAAAGTAAAGTACTTCCTTCTCATGGGTACGACCTTGGCGAGGTGGGAATAAAGGTTCAGTACCCAGTACGAGGATTTCACCCAAGCAAAACACTTGTTCTGCTTGGATAAAAATCCAAAGACGGAGAAGCTAACGTACCCTCGCGTTCGCCGATTTAATTGAATAAACGAACCGCAGCCGGTTCGTCGCGTTTGCTTCTCGGGAGTGCCGTTCAAGTAATCGGACTAAAGCCTTGTGTTCACGATGCTAGAACTGCGTCCGAGTTTCGGTTTAAGCCAATCAACTTGCAGCTCTTACAGAAAAGCAGCAGTTTCATTGGCTTAAACTGAAACTCGGACGCAGTTCTAGCATCGTGGACACAAGGCTTAAAGGACTTTTCTAAACGGGAGTGTCGTACAGTATCGCGCGAAAAAGACTTTTACTAATAATTAGTCCGCGCGCGATTGTAGTTTATTATCCGCGAGTGTTTCTCGCGAGTGTCCTGTGCGATGAGAGGAGGAAGCCTGACGTCCAGAGAGGAGGAGGAGGCCTAGGAGAGGCATCGGGTCCTGGCGGAGCAACCTGGGGTGAGTATTATTTCTTATCATAATAATTATTTTTCATTTATTTAAATTGTTTTATCTCGATAAGTTAAAAATAATTAGAGAAAGAGAAATTATCTAAAATTTTACTCTTGTAAGATCTTTTTCGATAAACAGATAATTATATTGCTAAATATTTTATTGAAAGACAAATTAGAAGCGCGTAAGAATTATCTTTTGAAATATTGGTCATTTTAAACGCTTCTTTAATTTGAATTTTATGTTTGTATATTACAGAATCATCGTAGCTACGCGAATAACTCCGCCTGTTGCGCATCGGACTGGTGAGTCAAAATTTTTTTTATTGAGGTAACGAATCTACGATTATATATATATAGTCAAATATAGAGTCATTGTATCTCGGAACATGTCGAATTACGACAATAAATTATACTATAAAAAAATTACATTTCGTAGATTTGTTGCCTTGAAATGGATGGGCTAAAACGGATTACGGAAAGAACTCATTATCGTTCATCGAACTATATGTTGACGATCTGCCGCGTTCTACATATATATAACTTTTGAATAAAATTTTAAAGTACATAAGAAATTAAGTTTTCCAAATTTTGTTACATAGATCAACTCTACTTTATACAATTAAAGTAACAAATATTTTTTAGAAATACAAAGTAGAAACAAAAAGTAAGATAATACTTTAACAATTAAAGTAATAATTTTTCGAAATTTTATAAAAAACGTGATAATTTTCTCCTTTCTTCTGATCTGGTCGAAATGCGACTAGATTGTATATGGTTAGGAGCGACAAAAAGTCCGATCTGTCCCCTCCGAAAAAAAAACTGGATATGATAAGGTAAGTGGTCAACATTGACCACAATGGTGAAATACGTAAGGTGCAAAATGTTAGTACGTACAAAAGATTTGACATATTCGTTTATTTGCTCAAAGTAGGGCTATTTCCTCTATATTCTTTTTGTATATTATTTTCTCGCATATATGCGAGATTGGAAAGACCCCAATTAATTTCCAATCGTATCCAGAGAAAAAGAATATTCTTGATTTGAAAATATTTAGTTTTAACGTGGAAATCTCTTAAATGAGATTATATTACGCTAAACTTGCTTTTAGTTTTCGATATTTTATACTTTTCTGACATACGTTGCAGGAGAAATTTTTGGCGCCTTAATTCTTGTCGCAAATGTCGATTTTCCATATTCAGATCTTTGATTATTTTTGTATCTTTATTATTTGTTTGCGTGCAATTATCTTGGTGTTGATCATCTGTGGGTGGCATAGATGGCTCGAGAGGCACCCATTCCATTATATTTTCCTCTTCCGCAGTTACATTAAAATTTAAATTAGCACGTTTATATGTACGCAATGCAGACTGTTTAGGCAATTTTACTTCCATCACGTTTTCATTATCGAGTGAAAATGCTGCTGTATAATTTGCGGAAGAGCCTGTGTCATTGTATGGAATTGGTATAGCATTCCGTATCAATCGTTCTTTTGTAGCGTTTGTAAAACACTTGGCAGTAAAATGATCTTCGCACAATGATGCCGATCGAAGGGTAGCGGGAGAAAATTTCTCCAACTTGGTATTTCCTGCAACAGAAATATAAGAAACTACATATTAAAATTACGATTACACGTTTACTTAAAAATGTAACATTGCAATGCAATGTTATACTAAGTATTCGGTAAATCGCGCCTAATATTAACATTTATAATAAAAAATAGAGTCGAAAAGTCTTTAATCACTTTCTCGAACCTTGTTTAATGAAACAAAAATTATTATACGTAACTGAAAAAATGAACATCGCCTTTTTTTTTATAGTGATTTAAAAGAAAAGTTGTTTGTTAACATTGAAAGTTAAATCGATTAAAAAGGGCTAAAACCCATGATCGACAAAATCGTGACAATTATAATTGACCAAAACCAACAGTTAAAACGTTGTGACGATTACAATAAATAAAGATAGCCAGGTCAAATAAAAATTTGTTATTGTTCATTAGTGGAAGTTTAGTAATACAACATATGTTATAAATTAGACAAAATCCGTGTTTAATAAGGTTGGGTCATTCCCTTTTTAACGTAATATACTATGTTTTATCGCAAAAACCCAGCCAGAAATGACCCATCGAATCGACGTCTATAGACGTCTAATTAGATCATTTGATGGGTCATTTCTCGCTGGGGAACCCGAGGTCTTAATATCGACATATTTATAATTAATTACGCGATACATACACAGATCTTCCTTTGTCAGCATAACAATATATCAAAAAATAATATTTATTCTCCAACCACTTACCTGTATTACGTATCCATATTTCGCATCTCGCATCCTTTTTCATTGGAAATCTAAATAGACGCTTAGAAAGTCTCGTATTCGTACAGTCTTTGTACATACACCTATCATAAATACGAGTTATACGCCACTCACTCGACATTGTATTATTGTTAATATAAAATTATAAAATAAATATAAATATACTTAAAATATATCTAAAAAAATTAATCTAAGAATAAATGTAAGAACACTTTTAAACAAAAAAAGAAAAGAAAAGAATGTCAAAACCGACACGATAAAACACACGCTTTTAGTGTTCACGACCACGTAACGATGTTTACAGTTAATTGCGTCGGATGAGACAGTGGCACGCTGTCAACGTGTTACGAAGCACACTAATCTCATTAAGAGATAAGATTATATCTCCCTGTACGAAGTTGCACAGAACCGTGCACGAATAGCGAAATATTAAACAATATTTACAACTATAACCTCAAAGCTCGTCGCGCTTACTGGCTGTTCTCGCAGTCAATGAACCATTCGCCGATTCGCCAGGTGCTAGTGCTAGAGTCCCTATATAAGAGTCTGCCCGATTCTCTAACGAGAAACGTACAAAACTCTGCTCTAACAGAAAGGCTGCAAATTGATTGGTTATCGCACAGTTTTTAGCCAATAAGCTTGCAGCTTTTCTGTTAGAGCAGAGGTTACGCATACGTTTGTCGTTAGAGATTCGGGCCCCTGGACCCCTATTCTGTAACTCTAACGACAGTGTCGGTATCGTTATGTCGTCGTTGCGCAGCTTTTTTTCCATATAGTATACCTGCGCAACGACAACGTAACGATACCGACACTGTCGTTACGAGTTACAGAATAGGGGTCCTGCTTCATATTAAAGAATCACTGAGCGCTCACTGACAATGAGCTGCTTTTCTAATGGAGGTTGATTGTGCATAATATTGAAACGAGGTAAAAATTACCTACAAAAGTGAACAGATTTACTAAATTTCGACAAATAAAATCATAGATACTCTAGTGAATTTCTTTACTTTTGTAATTTCACCTCGATCCAAGCTACACAATCGACTTTCGAACGCAGCCAATGAAATGATTATACCGCCCTATGAATACCGGCTTTAATAACTCTTTCTGTACATGTAAATGCAGCTTAATCAATCTTGTACCTTATGATGGCGCTGGCGGCGGGCCTAACATGATCGCCATCTTGTTGAGTGCGAGAGGATGTCGTCAATCCCGTTTATTTTACTTACTTAGTGAATAAATTGATACGACGATACAGCCTACAGCCGTAGTGCGGTAACTCGCGACGTTTCGCCGAAATGACGCAGTTTCTACCGCCGAATTTGCTCGCGTTGTTCTCGCCGCGCGAGCCGATTCCGTATTTGCCACCCGCGAGCAAATTGCCGCATGAGAAGAAGAACGGTGGCTACGCCGGCGTCGGGTCCTTTTTGAAGTGTTTCGAGGTAAGAGCACATTACGTTTTTTTCAAGGTCATCTTGTCGATTGCATTACTATATTCACATACTATTATACTCCTTTTGCATATATTTATGTCATGTTTATACATGTGGATTGTTTCTTTATGTTGTATGTAAACTGCATGTTTTCCATTTATACATGGCTTTCAATAGAGTTCCATCTGAATTTGTTCGAGCTGATAACTTCAATCTGATAATTTTTTAATATCTCAAGTATGCATTATTATTAGTATTATGTATATCTGTATTTTTTGAATGAAGGCTAAGTGATAGTTTTTCTGGCCATATTTGGCTTATTTACATATAAATAAATGGAAAAATTAAAAAATAAAGCAGGATACAAATTTTTGTCAATTGTTGACTAGTGTAATCGACACACATTGGAAGCCTAAAATAAAATATATTAATTTACAATATTATTATATTATTATTAGGCATTCCTCCCAATAGCCAAGAATATCATCCATTTATTCTTATCTTAAATTGTAAATCTGGAATTAGTCTTATATTATCATTGAAATTTTGTTGTCGCTTAAGATAAGATTTGTTTTTTATTTCCTTTTATTTTCTCTTTTGTTTTATTAATATTTTTAATGAGAAAAAAACATACTCTTTTTATAGGATCCTAAGGATACTCCGCCACCTCTGCGTGTAGAGACGCGAGAAGAACGTCTCGAGCGTAGACGTAGAGAACGTGCGGAGCAAGTTGCGTATAAACTTGAACAAGAAATTGCAGTATGGGATCCAGCTGGAATTTCCAATGTTACAGCAGATCCCTTTAAGACTCTTTTTGTAGCTCGAATTGTAAGTGTTATTTATGTAACGCTCAGCAAATATATAATTAAGCTATGTAGAATACATCTTAACATATGTTTGTTTTCCTGTTGTTACAGAATTACGACACATCAGAATCCAAACTGAGAAGAGAATTTGAAGTATATGGACCGGTAAAAAAGGTAAATATTTTTCCAAAAATAAACTTTTTTTTTAACTAGAATTTAATTAAGGTTTATTACCGAATTTTGTTTTCTTTTTGCAGATTGTGGTAACACATAATACAATTAATGGCAAGCCTAGGGGATATGCTTTCATTGAGTATGAGCATGAAAGAGATATGCACTGTAAGTAGCAACAACTTAGAAAGGTAAAAGAAAAAAAAAGAAATGTTACTCTTGTCGCGAAGCTCAATGAGCCTCATATAGTCTGGAATTTCATCTTATTTAGCGTCACTTCCAGCTAGATATTACGGGGGCAGGGCTATAGTTAGGCTACTCATTTTCATTGGTACTTAATCTAGACGGTACCGTTTGGGGAGGGGGGGTCCCCGCCATACGCACACTCATGCAGGAATACCGTTCTGTAAATGCATAAATATGGTAAAAGCGAAACGAAACAAAACAAAAACAAAAAACGACGTGAACGTTTATTGGCTGTCTTTGATTAATGCAGTTTTTATCTTGTTCTTGGTACAGCGTGGTGGCCGCTGCCGGCAACTAGTGCCGTTCACTATTCCATGCAAAATCCCTGAACCTGCCTGATAAGATAGGTTTGTATGTGTGGTAAGATCCAACATACAACAACGTTTGTTAGCGTCTACTTGCTTATCCTATTTATCGTGTCTGATTTTGTCGAGCAAACGTGCGGTTTCAAATCGGATTATAAACGGGCATCCGTGATGACACCCGCCAAAGACTTTTTACGAGATTTTCCGACCCGGAATTTTGAGATATATATAAACATACACATTCGGACGCCGTTTTTTCTCTTAGAACATGTCCCAGTAGAAAAAAACTTCATGGATTCGTGGATCTGTGGATTCTAGGATTCATGGTGCTATAATCGGTTCGTAGAACATTTATAGGTCGTAAAATTTACGGACATTAGTATCTACGGATCCAAGAATCGCGTGAAAGTTAGCATTCTACATTGAAATTGATTGGTGGGCCTTTAGGATGAAGGTTCAGGGACACACATTACCCATTTATATCAATGAATACAATGAACATGTAGATCAGAGTATTTTGCACACATATCTGTCGTTTCGTAGACACGAATAGCAGGATATTTCGCAATTGACACAACCACTGTAATTCTGTGGCTTGAAGGTAGAAAAATTAAGGTGTTACATGCAAACATGCATCTATTTCTACCCTCATGTCGTAGAATGGCATTAGTTCTTCTAGTACCATGATGTTAATATCCTAAAAATAGGACGAATTTTTACATCCGGCGATGTGTATCATCACACTTAACACGAAACGTGCGATTAGCCTGCGCGTTTTTTCCAACAATTTTATTCGTAAGGTGCATTTTTGAATTTTATTTTTTCTACCAGTTATATCATCACGCAGTAGACTTTTGAAAGTACTTATAGTTTTTAATGACGGATTCGAAAAGTCCACGAGATGTAGGGATTAAATTCCTAGATAATCGCGCCATATGATCGATATAAAATATATATAATTTTTTCGATTTGGTAGATGTAAAACATAGGATTTGCATGAAAATCGAAGACGGAGAGCATAGTATAAAGTATTCGATAAGATTTTGTTTAAATATTATTACAGTTCAAGGATGTTCGATTTTTGTTCGATATCTGCTGGAAAAAAAGCTATTTAAAATTTAAAACAGTCCTTGAACATATCAATTTCGATATAGAATACTAATTTCTCTTTCGGTATCAGTCACTTGTTTTTATAATATCACTCTCTTGCGAAAACATGATCTCGGATAAATAACGTATATGCAACGCAACACTTGCGGATTGTAGAATCGGTGGATCCTAATTTTTCCGCGTGTCGTCGAAATTGTGGATATCTGGCCTTCGTTGATTCTAAAATCTTTCGGATCCCGCGATATCCGAGAATACCTAGAATACCGTGGGCTTTGATCTACAAAGCTGGATCTTCGGATCTACGATCGTGCAGTATGCGACGTCGGAAATAACGACCAATAAACGACACTTCTCTCTCTCTTTCTCTCTTTTCTCTCTCCCTTTCTCTCTCTCTCTCTTGAGTCAGGGAGATGTCGGGTTAGTTGAGCGAACGGGCACACTTGCCCTTAACATTATGCTAAATGTAACTTACTGCTAGATATCACTGTAACACGTATCATAAGTATATACGACAATATGCGCACGGTTTGAATCGTAAGTAAAACGAAATGAAAGCGCACCAGGTAATAAGCAAATGTAAACCTCTTCGGAGATTGAACGAACGAACGTATGAAGACTGGGCATCTTCGCAATGAGTAGTCTCCTCGCGAGTCTCTTACGAGTTCATTTCACGAATTAGACCGTACCTCTAAGCTTTGTGTTAACTTCCGTACGTAAGTAGCCGCGGTAGGTATTTTTTGTATTTGCTATACTTTTTTGGATCTTAAACAAGTAGTTTTAAGCCGCTTTAAAAGAGCCGGAGCGTTACTCGCTTCCGATCGTCGTGCAGTTGCGGCTACGGCCTGCGTACGCGTCCTCGTTTTACGTCGTAAAATGTAGTTTAGGATGCAGTAAATAAAAATGTAATTGAGTTTGGCACTTCGGGACCGTGTTGCGTATTCCAGGATCTTCGGAGGAAATAATACTTCCTAAAAGGAAGAGAAAGATTTTAATACGTTACTCGATTTACAAACGTGTGATTGTGGTAAGGTTTGTATTCTCTACTTAAAAGTCTAATTCTCGAATTTGTAAGAAAACGCTCGATTAATTTCGAACGCGTTTCTTTCGGAGAAAATGTTCCACGAATTCCACGTGATATGAGGACAATCTTATCTTTTTTTGTAATTCGCAGAAGTATATCAGATATTAAATATTTCACTTTCATTTTACCTGGTAAAACGACACACGCGGCGCGTGCCGGCAAGCCGGATGTGCGCGCGATCGGTTGCAGCTCGTATCATTACCTCGTTATCCCAACATCATCCACAATATTCAACAACAATCATACAGTCTGATTGATCCTGCTGCGACGATTGGCGTCGGCGATTCGGATGGAGAATGTTTCCTCAGTACTTTAGCAAGTACTTCTTCTCGAAGATCCTCTAGCGAAACGGCGCAATGTCATTATTGACTTGAGATCTGTGAATCTCTTTTCTAGGGTTTATTGTTTCTCTTTCAAACGAGTGCGGTACGCATTCCACTTTATCCCGCAATGATGCGGGCAAATTTCAGTCGATTCTCTTCCTTTCTTCTTCTTACGATTCCCTATTTGAATAGATATCTAGAACGTTTGTTTGAGAAAGGACCTGCGAAACCGACGATCCTTTTTGGATCTAATAATAAATTCAATTTACAGATTGTGAAGCACTCACGTATCCAAGAACTGTTTAATTATAGGGTTGAAATCTCGGGAACTCACCGATTCTCGAAATCACGGATATAGACTAGAAATTCGATTAGTCCGGTTAGTCCGCGAATCCGAGAATCTGTGTTGAGGCAAATTTCAGTTGGTCTTTTGACTTTTTCTGAGGTTTCGTAGGTCCGAAAATTATTGGACCACAGAATCCATGGTTCAATACCAGAGAATTCTTAGAAGCTATCTCTTCGAAACTCTGAGTCTTGGAATGTACGTTCGAAGACCTGGTGGATTCGAGGATCAGTGGCTTGGAGAGATGCTGCGAGAATCGTGGAATTTGTGTTTGTGAACGAACGATTCTCAAAGTCCAGATAACGCCCGATTCTAATATCCAGACAATTTAGGATCTTGATATCGACCACTTCCAGGATCCGCAGTCCCAGGAATCATCCCATTTGTTAGGTTTCTCTTGGAGTTTGCCCTTTCGTTGGGACTGTAGACTTCGTAGACTAATCATTTAGGCGCGTGAATTTACCGGCGAACAGTAATTTCTGATCGGTAATCTTTTAGCTGCATATAAACATGCGGATGGTAAGAAAATTGACGGCCGCAGAGTATTAGTGGATGTCGAGCGGGCGAGAACGGTGAAGGGCTGGCTGCCAAGGAGACTCGGCGGCGGCTTAGGGGGGACTCGTAGAGGTGGTCCCGATGTCAACATCAAGCATTCAGGGCGGGAAGATAACGAGAGGGAACGGGAGCGATATCGTTTGGAACGTGAGAGAGAAACCTCGGGACGTGGCCTGGACAGAGACAGGTGAGTGGCAAGGAGTGTGAAATATTAATTAACAAGATGTGAAAGAAATTATGTATAAAAATTGTCGTCTAATTGTTTCAGGGATCGCGACCGTTTGGATAGGGAACGTCGCAGATCGCGCGATCGTAAGCGAAGGACTCGGAGCAGATCGCGTGAACGCAGACGCAGGCGAAGTCGCGATCGATTGCCGGATCCCGATATCGAAGAGATCGAACGCCCGCGCGACAGAAGAGATCGTGATCGAAACGAACGCGATCGGGATCGCAAGAGGCGACGGTCGCGAAGCAACGATCGCGAGCGCGATAGGGATCGTAAGCGGGACAAGCGGGACAGGGATCGCGAACGCAGGGACAGAAAGGACCGCGGCGATCGTCAGGACGAGGATACGAAAGAGATCCGTATCAAAGAAGAACCGTTGGACGGTAAGTTTTGATAAAAGAGATAAACCTCGACGATATCTTTGAAAAAGGTCAACGAAAGAATGAATATGCGAGTGTTAAATTATCTTTCAGATTATCCAGACTACAGCAATACATTTGCGACGTCCGGTTCATACTTCACCGCGGTCAAGTACGAAGATGATAACGATCAGGAAGTGGAGGAGAAATACCGGATTCCAGAGGGTCGTCCCGATCCACCTCCGTATAACAATTACGATTCCGTACAAGATTATTGATCTCGACCAGTGCATATTTCTATCGTATCCCTTTTTTCACAGTAAGCCACCATCGCTTTATTTTATCGTTGCATTGTCTCTACTGCTAGCACAATACTGGCGAATTAGTTCTTTCAAGAGCGAATCAAGTATTGAACGCTCTTCAATTATATAAAGTATTTGGTCAACTGCTATGAATGTCGCAAAAGAATTACATATGTTCTGTAAAGTGTTTAATTTCTATAGAACTTCCGAAATAAATAAAAAACGAAATAATTTATATTAAATAGTAGAAAAAATACGAATTTACATTTAGTAAATTTAAATTTTGACATAAAAAAATCGTTGAAAAAAATTTGAATATATTACTGCATAGCAATATGCATCGCATGATATAAAAAATAACTGGTAAATAATGTACAAATCGCTTTATCGTCTCTAAAAAGTGAATGACATTGATTGAACTATTATAGGGAAATCACGAGAATGAATTATATATATAGATGCAATCATTTATGCAGATTTAAAGTACTCTCTGTCTTTCTTTCTTTCTCTTTTTCTTCCTATCATTGATAAGATTGTATTCACAAAAATCTTTGACATTCTTTTTAATGAATTAAAGAATAATTAATAGATTGTAGCAGATCATGCGAAGCCTCGCGGTATCAAAAGCACGAACTCATAATTGATTGAATACTACGGTGTTCAACAAAACATGTAATTTAAGTATCGGTCGTCTAACATGTATACGTAACCGCCGCGCGCGCAAAACACAAAAAACTTATGACTGCTACATGTATATTTATATGTCGAGTAAAATAAAATATGAAATTAACTTGTTACACGAGCCCTGTTTTTTGTTTTTTTTCTTCTACACTTCAGAAACTGTATCCATTACTGGATACCATTAATTTTCTAACGCGAAAGAAATATGACTTCCAAACGTAATGTAGAGCGGAGGATAACGTCGTCGGTTCGCGAAACTAAACGCAATCTTGATTTTATACATTGCTCTGCAATTCTGCCAATCGATTCGTACGAGTTTGATCGCTTGATACGCCCAGAACGCCACGCAAGCGTCAAACGATTTCGCAAGCGAAACAAAAGTGCAATCGATTAACGCGGTTTAAAGTAAACGGAATGAAATAGTAATGAGGAAATAAAAACGTTTCTCTTCAGCTATTTTTTTTTCAAATATGATTTGTTTCTAATAGAAAATTATCGACTATGTTATCACCGTATAATATTAATTATCTAATAACCCAATTATATTTTTTTTTTATTAATACAGAAACGTATATTAACAATTTTTTTTGTTTTATGCGTAATTAATGAGCTGATTTTTTCAGCTCGCTTATTTTTGATACTTTGAATTTCTAAGCCTATTGATTTCCGATGTTCGATATCAATATGCTAAATTTAGGAGATTACAATATGTAATTATAAACGACGGCCTTTCACTATTACATGAAAGGCCATACGACACCATTTCTTCGACTAGTACCTGGCGCGAATTTTTTATCGTGTTTGCGCGATATTCCTGTTAACTGCTCGGTTGCTCGGTATGTACATTAGCGATTGCTTTCCGGAAATTGCAATCTCCTCCCCCCTTCCCTTCCTGCCTCTCCGTACAGCTGTCGAAACTGCAATCCTTGATCCATCGCGTTCGTGATTTTTAAAAATCTGTGGCAGCGAAATGCTCTCACATATTGACCCTGCGATGCACGAGAACTTTTTTAATTATTCTCGACAGGATTCTTATTATATGGATCGCTTAACAAATCTTTTTTTACAAAGTAAACCTGAACTTTCATATTTGTGAGGAAGATTCGTAGAAGAAAATTTAAGAGATAAATAATAATAAATAATTGTAAAATAAGTAAATGTAAAAATTTACATGTTAAAAGTAGAAAATTAGTTTATATACTATATAATTGATAATTAAATCCAATGTTAAAAAGTTATATAATAAGTACTCGGGGGAAAAAGTACTCTTTCCATTAGCATTTTTACGGTGGATATCCAATTTTTCTACAGAATATCTGTTTCTATATACTGGTGGAACATTTCAAAGAGATACAGCTCGAGATAGTCCCAATGATCCCTGGAGATTCCCTGGGTTGATGTTTAGTATTCCGGCGGCGGAAGCGATACCTACAGAGAGCAACGTGTAAGTTGATATAACGCATCGCGCTGATAGAGTTAGCCGAATGAACGAACGGATAGCAAGATAAGCAGGAAAGCAGGTAGAATATATTACGTATAGAGAATGCTTGTATAATAAAGTCTACACACTTTCGCGCTTTCTATTTTCTTGAAATTTGTATTTATAATATGCAAAGTAAAGTAAAAATCGATATTAAGCATGCGGTATATTTATAAGTCCTTTATTTAACGTGTATTATCCCGGGAAAATCTTCCAAGATGTGTGCCCATCACGTAACATATGAGATCGTTGGGAATAGAACAAATAAATTTACTCGTATATCGTTATTTTGTTTCGGATATACGAATCGAAAAATAAAGCGTGCGATTATTTACGATTCCGCGATTAATTATAATTTAGTAATCGATTAAACAGATATAATTATATTATAATTATTCGGAGATAACTTAAGTATTTTTTTTTTGAAATTTTGGAAGCAGAACTAGTAGACGGGTTGGATTTCTACTGTCACTTGTGTGTCGCGAACAGGAACAGCACCTCGGACGTTGGAGGCTGCAGGAGTTTCCGTGCTGAAAGCTGGCTGAGTCCTTGTTTCTTCTAATGGAACGTTTGTCACATCACATGGTAGATTAAATCAATGTCTGAAAATATATTCTTATCAAAGGGATAAATTCATGTGCATTTGAAACCAGACACTGCAATGTCTAGTCGAGCTATTTTCGTGAATGCTTCACTAACAAGGCCTGTAATATCGTAGTCAGTTATTCGTGCTCCTGCGTTTGCTCTCATCCATATGTCACATCACTCATGGAAGTATTTTTGAAAGGTTTCATAAAAGTTCTGTCGAGAGGTTGCAGCTTGTGAGTAGTGTGTGGTGGTGAACTAATCAAGTAAATGTTATATTTTCTACAAAAATTTATGACATTCAATGTATTATGGCTGCTATGACCATCTAAGAACATAAGCACAGCTGATTCTTTTTAAGGACGTGAGAATTACACGAAATGCTTCAACCATTGGAGGAAAAAGTCGCTATTCATACAACCTTTCGGTTGAGCGACGTCTTCACTCTGTGCGGGAGCATTAATCATGAGACGTTCATTCATTCTCTGTCTTGGGAAGACAAAAAACGGTGGTATAAAATATCCACTGGCACTCATGCAAAACAGGACTGTAATGTTCTTGTCTCTTTCAGCTGAAGTAAGCTTTCCTATTTGGCGTACATACATTCTTTGGAGCTAAAACTTTTTGATGTTTTTGAACGCAGTTGACACACGTTTCGTCGCAATTATATATGTTAGATGGAGGAAAATTATACTGATTCATGAGTTTTTCAAGATTTAAGAAGAACAAATCTACTCGTTGCTTATTAAAACCTACAGCTTGCATCACACTCGTAGACTCAGGTGTTCTTAGTGATAAATCGGGATGTCTAGCCATAAAGTCATAGTAAAAATGTTTACTAGCTGTTTCTTTTTCAGTGTTGAAGCGATGAGAAAGCTTTAGCTCTACTGCTAATTGTAAGTCATATGTCAAGTTTAGAAATTCCTTTTCCATCAGTGGCAAACATCGATTCGATAAGTCTTTCACGTGGTTCACTAATTTTTCTTCATATTCTGATGGGAATGTTTTGATGAACCTACCAATCTTAATGATATTTCAATGATATTTCTTCGACGGATTTTAGATATCTAATTTTATCGTGTAAAGTGCTTTTAGGAATATCATATTTTAGCGAAGTTTCTCTCAGTCCCATTTTTTTTACATAACTTTATCAAGAGCAGTTTTTAGATTATTCTGATCCTTTCTTTTTATTTTCCATAATGTCTCATAGTGTTTCTTCTATTCCTCTGAAAACAAAATATTATACTTTAGAATAAACATAGACTCATAGCGTTAACGTTATCATTGTCCGGTATTAGGGGATAGTGTTCTGTCCGGTATCAGGGGACAGCTAATGGTCAAAATAAAAAAATATATACTTAACGTGCATATTTAGTCACAGGAATTTCGTAGGTATACTCGTCTCAAGTTTACGCGATACATTCTTTTCCTTCTAAACAATCTAAACGATCGACAGTTCTGTTTTGTTTACCGCCCAAAATTGAGGCGTGTTGCTGCGTGCACGACTATTGCTCATCTCCTTCTACCTTTCCGCCACGGCAGCGATACGATTGCGTTTGTACATGCATAGATATTGGCGTGTCTGGTGCTAGGTGCCGTCCGGCGTTAGGGGAACTCCCCCCATCCATTTAGTACAGTTTAGTCCAAATATACATTCAATCAATTTCCAAATATACACATACATTGTACAATGGATTGTTTATTGGAAACTGCTAAAGGGAGATTTGGACCGGAATTCCGACAATGATTTACCTTCAATTTATTATAACTGACAAGTAATACAATTATTTTTATCATAAAAAATAACTTATTATAAGTTCGATTTATTATATTGTGTGATTTATTATATTATATAATAATTAACAAGTACAATTGTTTATTATAACTAATTTGCAAACTTAATAAAGCTTTAGTATATAACATCTATTAATTTAAGTGTTTAACTTCTTCTTAAAGCACTTTCGAACTTGAGTGATACAGCAATTTTTTCTGATTGATACAAACTTTATTAACTTTAAAGACAATTATACGTAAGATTTGTTTCTCAAGATTATTGAATTGCTTTTTTGAATTGAAAAAGAGAATTCGGCATCTCAAGACAAACTTCATCTGACTTTATTAAACGTTATCTACTTAATGGGACTCGTAAGATTCATCTACTGAACAATTTCACGTCTAAAGACTGACTTTCAGCTAAGTTTCTTGGTAGAAACGTGACGGGTCAGTGTCAGCAGTGCCGAATTATGCGACAGGTGATTATGCGGAGATAAGATAAATACTCGTTATCTTTATTATATGTTGTATTATACGAATTTACAACGCGAGAAAGAGAAAACAGCGGAAGGGTAGGAGAAGGAGAATAAAAGGAATAAGGTTTTCGGCAGATGCATTAAAATTATCGTTATATAATCGGCAATATTTGATCTGGAGAAAGCAAATAATAATAAGTAACTTTCTGAGATTTTCATTCAAGTTCCACCCTCGGTCTTTCGGAATTCTTCTCCCTTATATTTCACATATCGGTCATCTATAGCCGCAATCTTGCACAGAGATTGTATGAATTAAAGATTTTTTATGTCAAATCGAATCGAATCGAATTTTATTTGCTCTTTTGAATTTGAATCGAAGCGTGAAAATATAATTTTTAATTAACAATATAATCATTATTAGATTGAATTTTAACACGCAAGAAAATATTTTAATGTGGAAAATATTGATTATATATAATATAAATTCTTTTTAAAACAAAAACATGTTTAAATATTGAATGTAAAACTAATAAAATATATTTTATTTACTGTTGCAATAACTGAAACAATTAAGCGAAAAATCATAGATAAATTATTAGAATACTCTATATAATGTAATATTCAATTACATACATAGAAATTAAAATAAAATTATATTGTTTATTTTATAACCAATAAGCACTCACATCTAGCTTTCTTTTCTTAAGCATTTTTTTTAAGCATATTTAAACTTTTACTTAAAATTTGATAAAAAAATCTGATTTTAATGAATTTGAATTCGATCTTGTCTGATTCTCTCTCTCGATTCGATTCGTGTTCAAATAGAGTTCGCACATCTCTATAATCTTGCGCATACTTGTCGGTACCCCTTTTTCAGCTATTCCGCGTGGCGAAGAATGGCAGGGTCACGAGGGCATATAACAGAGGGTGTACGACGACCAGCGCGGTGTTGCGCCGTGGGGCCGGGGGGAGGGTGGGGGAGGGGGTGGGAAAGGGAGGTACGCCGGGAAGGGATGGCAGAGGTAAGCGATGAAGCTGCAGGGGGGGACAGGAAACGCGGGGGCAAGAGGGCGAGCCGGCGGTAGTCCGGCAGGTAGCTGAAGGGCGGAGGGCGGAGGGTGTGGGCGGCTGGCGCGCGCTCAAGCGCAGGGGGGTGGGGACGAGCGGGGTGGCGCGCACAGGAGGTGGCAGGCTCTGCTCTGGTGCGTCAGAGCCTGCAGTGAGCCCGGCAGTGAGGCGAAACGTTAGGCTCCGCGCGGGAGTCTCGTGGCCGCCCGTTCCCTCTCGAGAGTCGGGGTGCCTTTTCCCACGAACCACAATTTACACACAGACACGCCGCACCACGCTACCCCCCTGCCACCGCCGTCACCACCACCACCCCGTCCCCCTGTCTCCCGTCCGCCCGGGCCCCCTCTCTCCTCCCAGCACCCCCGCCGGTTCGTCGCATCGTGAAATTTCACGCATCTTTTTTTGCGGCTCCGTGCTTTTGTGATAAAAGAAAAAACGCGCCGGCACGCATGCACGACTTCCGGTAGGCGGCCTCCTCCGGAAATGGTTCCGGTGTAGAAATCTTGTGGTTAGATCGGGGGGTCGGCGACACACGCCGCTTTCTCCGTGTGCCTCCGCGTCGTCTCGCGGGGGTGCGGATAGTCCCGTAGACGCGGCACGCGCTTGGATGCTGCGAAACCGGCCGGAAGACTTCAACGCTCCGATCGAGCGTCGAGCGACGCCGGTCGTCGTTTCGCGATCGTCGACGATCGCAAATGATTTCTTTCCCCACGTCAGGATGTCGTTAATTTGCGGATTGAAAGTTAGTGCGTGATTTTCTATCAATTTTTTTTTAAGATCTCTGACGCGCGAATGTCGAGAAGTGCGAAAGTTTTGATCCGCTCGTTGCACTTGAGATATTATTTTAGAGATATTATTTTAGAGTGAGGTGTCGCATTTCCGAAAATGATTCTACGTGACTATTAAATTTACATGGAATATTTAACTCGCGGGTCGAGGGTCGAGAGACCCTCAGGCCATACACACACACGTACGGAATAATAAGTTAAATTACTGCTTTCAAATCTCATCAGGAAAAGTCACTGAATCACGCGAGGTTGAATGAAAAGAAAAAAGAAGATAAATCTTTCTGGGATTCTGTATGAAGATTGAACGCGCGAATGATTTGAAATTTTTGATGCGACGCCAGATATTCAATGCCAATGTCTTTGAAGAGCCTCTTGAGAAAGGGATTTGAAAATCCGTGAAAGGAGCATAGTGTCTTCGAGGTCGAAAGTTCACGAGGACTCCGACTGCGGCTGTTCGTACGCGTGACTGACTCCGATGATCTCTGACGTTGACGTTGATGATCTATCGAATTTTAATTGTTCAATCAAGTAATTATATCGAGCTTTAAAAGTTTATCCGTACATGCATTCTCTTACTTTCATGTTAATATTGTTAATTAGCTTATCCACTCCTTTTGACGTATCTGAATGCTTAATCTAAATGCGCGACTAACGTTGTATTTGAACTTTAATTACGAAATTCCGTTACGCTCTATTATTTCGGTCGACAGTTACTTGAACCTCGTAACTCATCCGATTATAGTTTCATTCAAATTTTAATTTTAATTCGATCATTATTAAATGTATTACATCAATTAATCACACGGTCAGCAATGTGTCTACACCAAGTAGGTTAATATGTTAAAACAGATTAACTTCAGTTAGACTAACATCTCGCTATTGACATTACGAATTTCTCGCAAGACTCGACCGAGTAACAAGCCTCGGCTAGGTGTCGGACAAATAACCAGCTATAGTTCATTAAGAATTCATGAGAGATTTATCTAATTTTAGATTTTTAATTGCGCGACCGGGGTCCAATTCGGTTTCGCCGCCGACGTTTCAATCCATGTGTCTAATCCGAACAACCGTATCGACGAGGTCGATCGATCGATCGCGGACGAAGGTGAAATACGTCCTGGCAGAGACCTTATGGGGTAACGCGGGCTCGCGATGCGGTGGGACGCCGCGTGTGTTTCCCTTGTCCGCGAGCTCTCTCACGCACCGCCAATGCGGCTGAGATCGCGCGATCCCATTGGCTGCTCCCGTGCCGTGGTGTCGGCGATGGGTACGTCCAGGTTCGACGCTCGTTGCCCGACCGAGGTGTGCGCGCGTAGACACTGCGAGGAAACGTTCAACCAGTTAGGCCAGACGGGCGATCGTGGGAGGAGGAAGGCGCGGGACTCTCGCCTCGGGAGACGCTTATCGAGGATCAGCTGCCGAATAACTGGTCGATTAAATGAATTGTCGCGCGGTATCGATGGTGCCTTTCGGCGGTTCAAGTCGCTTTGCATAAAGCTTGCATTTTTATTTTGCGCGCGAGTGTGTGACTGTGCGATTTAGTGGGTTTTTTTAGCGAGCTCGGGAACTCATAAATTTGGGAAAATTTTTTAAATTGTGGCGGAGATAAAGAATCTTAGATTTGAAATGAGAAGTCGTCATAAGAAATCCAAGAGACAGCACCCGAGCATCTGAAATAGTCGAAAAAATTTATACTCTTTTAAAATCTTTGGGTATATCAATGTAATGGCACTAATATAATGGTTTCTGGCTCTGTAAATAATTTTAATATGAATCTTTCGCAGATCCACGAGCCAACGTCAATCATCAACGAACCTCGATTATTTAGACGATGTTCGAAGCGAGATAGAGTCGGCGATTAGTCATTTCAATAAGTTATCAACAATCACGGTAAATAAAAGTCACCGGTTAGGCTCTGTGCCAGTTTTTTGATCGATCCGAAAACCGCTTCTTTTCAAAATTATAATACATCCACACAAGTCGTGCGTACGTGCCGGTCTCGTGCTGCGTCTGGCTCGAGGCCAGAGTAAACGGGAGAATGTGCGAATTCGAGAGGGGCGATTGGAAAAGACGGGGATGGACCGAGGAGTGAAAATGCTGTTTCGTCAATGAGAGAGGCGAAGGAAGGGCGACTCGTGGCTAATATATCGTGTGACGTGATTATTTCGCGGTTATGCGTAGCGAGACGCGATTCAGTACCGGGCGTTATCGCGCCGGCTGCTGAGAGAGGAGAGGCGAGTCCTACGGTCGCTCGTGCTGTAAGGGCGACGACGGGCCCTCGCGTCCTTCGGCCACGCTCCGAAAACGAGCGAAAGTGCAGTGTGCGATACCCATTCGAACGCCGTCGTCGACTGCACCTGCAGGGGTGCATTGATCCGGCGGTGAGGTGAGGTGAGAAAGGGGGCGGGCGAAGGACGGGGGTGAGAGAGAAGGGCGACCGGAGTCGCAGCGCGGTATTCTGCAATTTGCGCAGGACGATCTCGTGAAATGCCGGACCGTGCCGGATTTATTTCTGATTCCCTCGGGATTGGTTCTCTTGTGCTATTGTTATATTATTTAAATTTTGCACATATATAATACTATTACGATACGCTTGACGATACATTTGACGATAACGCTAACACGACTTTGATAAACGGTATTGCATTTTGCAACAATAATTTGGGAAAATATTTGAAAGGATCTTTATAGTTAATGCCAGAGCTTTGAGAAATATCACTTTTTCATTGACAAAATCATTTCAATTGCGTGAAACATGATGTAAATATAATTGAAAGAGTGTAATAATTTATTCAAGATCGATTGTAAATTGAGAATATTCATCACTTCTTAGAAATCTGCTTTAATCGGTTATTTACTCGAGAATCTTTCTTCAACGCGAGCAAGGTCGCGATAAACTTCTACCCTTTAAATCACCAAACGCATTACTTCCGCATTATATCTCAATGGTCAATTTATCGTACTCCTTACGCTAGACTTCCCCCCATATTTTCCTCCGTATGTCACGCCGTGTATATGTGGTTAGCTCCGTCTTTTCTTTGTAACCGGAGTCTCACCATCCGCGAAAGTTTGCCGCAGCCACAGCAACCGCGTCGTCGTCGTCGGTGGGTTGGCGAAAAATATGTCTCGAGTAACACAAAAGGCGTTTAGTGGCGCGACTTATCTCTAACCGGAGCCTCGGCCATTACCACGCCAATTTCCAGATATTTTTAAGGGGATCGATAGCGGACTGTTTGCGGTTCTTATGCATCTGGCACACGCGCGCCGGCCAACATGCAAGCGCCATGGGCAATTTTTTTTTTTCATCTTTCCACCCCTTTGAAGCGTTCGACCCTTTGAAGCACGCCTCTTTAACTGCTTAGAGTCTATGGAAAATACGTTACTACTACCGTGTCGGTTGGAAGTCGCGTAGTGTATTTGAACTCGCGGCGGCAGTTAATTAGCTGTATAGATTTTTTTTTTACTTTTTTATCGAGTTTCGAATAATCTTTTACTTAATAAATTTTATGCCATTATTGGATTTGCATTTTTTATCGGAAATGCGTGTATTGATTTTTTTACGTTTATACTAAAATTTATTCAATGCTCGCTACGTAACACACGCATAATCAGCATTAAGTATTCTTTATGGATGCTTATACCTTGTCATCTGTATCGTGATATAGCTGTATCTTGAGTAATCTAATTACGATTACAAGCTGTCTGCAGATCTCGGAAATCGTCTCATAAATCTTCTTTGGGTTGGACGGCTGGCGCGTAATGTTTCTTGAGGGGGAGTGGAAGTAATTCCATTTTTCTCCCCGTTGCAACTGTTTTTTCCGGCTTAGCCTCGTTTTTCCGCGATAGCACCTTTATTAATAGCGCGTCGCAACAGGAGCTAAGTTTCCCGTGTCGTTGAATAAATATTTATTTTTCGCACTTTCCGCGGCTTTTTAACAAGTGGATGATATATACGCTCGCTAATTAGAATTATTTTTAAAAAATAATCTATTTACAAGTATCGTATATTTTCAATAATCAATAAGAGTTTTTTATTATAAACAATATTTGTTTGCATTAAAAACTGAAAATTGCTTTATAGCTTTAAAATGTCATGCCCAATATCTATTTGTTAAATAGTCTAATTAATGATTGAAAAAGTTAAAAATTATTTTATATAAATTAAAATATTTATTAGTTAGATTGTTTTATTGTAATATTATAATCCGCGGCGCTGTACAGCAGAACACATGCACTATAATTATAAGACTTTGTTTAGAAGACAATTCTAAAAGACCGTTTTGCAATCCTTTTTTTGCATTAAAATGGCAACAATTTTCTTTTGTGAGAAAAAGAAAGAATTGAATATTGCTTTTAATTTCAATTGTCGAGACTTTTTTCAAGCTTAAATTGTTATTTTCACGATGCTATCATTTAATCTTTAAGCGAACGGTTTAAAAATAAGATGCTGCAGTTCGGAGGTTAGTTCTTCACTTCAATATAAAATGTAGCATTGAGAAGAAAATACAATTGTAAATGCATCGTGTAATTTTCAATAGCTGCTACAAAAATAGTTCATTGGAGAATATTTTGTCACATCTCGACTTATAAGCGGTGCATTGATTTTCAAAAGTCCATGGACGACGAATAAAATAATAATTGTTTGGTTTATTTAATAAATTGTTCAGAAATTCAGAAGCAAATAAAATTTAATATAAAATTTGCCGAAACGAATTTATTGAATATCGCATTATTGCGAGAACGTGATGCATTATTCTGTAGCTGTGTAGCAACATAGTTGATCGAGACCCGATCGATCAATGTTTAAAGAGAAATCCCACCTCAAAAGAGAACCAATCCCGCGAGAGCACGTGGAAGAATTTAAAAGAATTTGTACTCTTTCTCCGCAAAGTTCGACGGATCTTGACCCACCGCCGTTCGCCAACTTCCTTCGTTCAGCCAGTGGTTTAACGTTCGTCAGAAGGAAGAGAAAACACCGAAGAATAGCTCGTCAGGAAATTCCGCAGACGGCAGTGACGTCGTGAGAACGTCATCGGTCATCGCTGTGTGAGATCGGAGCGTCAGGCGCGAGGAACGCGGAGTGCGGAGTGCACAAAAAAAAAAACGGGACGGTAGTGGTGTTGAGGGTGCGGGGTGCGGGGCCGGCAAAGCCTTGTGACGAAACGAAGGATTAGATGGTGGAGGTGCTCGGGGGCCGGGCTAGGGAGCCTACGGGGCCACGCAGGGCACCTCGCACCTACCCAGGGCCAGTGCAGCTGCAGGTGCGCCGTGTGGGCCCCCGCGTGGACGTAAAGGTCACCCCTGCTCCGGTCCAGCTCCTTCGGGCAGACTCGAAGGCAGATCGCGGAATTTCTGTCCCCGAGACGAGCTCGGACGAGGGCCAGGAGGCACGAGGCCCCGAGCTCGACGTCGCGCGACACGCACAAAGCGCGAAGAGCGAGATACCCCCGTCGGAAGGGATCGATCCGACGGGACGAGAGGACGAGACGGAGAAGGAGGACGTTGGTCCGAGTGGACGGCCGTTCGCGGCCGGATTCGAGCACAAGTCGGAGCCCGGAGTGTCGGGCTCCCGCGTAAGGAGCGAGGCTGGCGAGCGCAATGTGGCAGAGCGGCGGCATGGGCACCCATGCGGCCAACAACCCATGGATGAAGCTGATGGGCATCGTCACCCACAAGGAGCGGAGGCATCACGAATCGGCCGCCGCCGCCGCTGCCGCGTCTGGAGTGCAGGGTTCAGCGACCACCGGCAGCAACGATCGGACGCTCAATCAGTGAGTTTATCACACAATATTATTCCTGAAAGAAAGAAACAATAGAGTATAAAATACAATATTTATAAAAAGTGGCAGATTATACAAACTATTTCGCATTAGCTGATATCGCCATTTTTATCTTTTTATTGTACCATTACACATTTTCACCGAGTTTAAGCGTTATTCCTACTATTAAAATCATAGTGTCAAATTACGACTCAATTTGAGAAATTTTTAATCATTAAAATAAATCGCCACTGCTTCTACTCAATATGTCGTTAATTTAACTAAACCAATGAAGTTAAAATAATACTGTTTTGTGTTAAAATAATAGTACACATAATGGTTACAAATAACGAAATGTTATTTAACTCAAGGTATTGGTTTAAATTTTACACAGTTGGAAAACTTGTGTTAAATGATAACACTGGTACTATGTTAATATTTCATCAAAAAAAGAAATGTAATTTTCATCGTAATTTGTAGTTAATTGGGTGCACGATTAACTTTTATGATGGAATTAACACATGAGAAATGTTCTTTTTACATTTTACAAATGTAACAAAACACCTTTTTCGGTAAATCTTAATACATTTAATAAATACGTACAAATTGTGTTACTTTAACATATTTTTTAAATTATTTGAATAATTTTACATTTTATATTTGTTAAATTTAACACAGTATGTGTTAAATTTACACAGAATATGTTGATTGTTTAATACGAAAACTTTAAATCAGTAGATTTTTTCACAAAAGGTACACAAATTTTCCAACTGTGCATGCTTTAATATTTAACGGTGTAAAAAACTATGCGCGTGCGCGTTCGTGTGTAGAGTTGAAATTAACGCGAATGAACTGTTACCAAGCGTTGCATAAAGCTGAAATTACGTACCAAAAATGCTTACTCGGATAATTCGCAGTCGAAATAGTTATCGCTCATAACGCCGTCGAAATGACGAAGCGAACGAAATGATTGAAACTCGATGAGTCTCTTCAAGATTTCCTCGTTGAAGGGTCGACAAAAGCAAACATCGTCGAGAAAGAAGGAAGCGGCGGATCCGCGAGCACTGCGAGCAGGGATCGAGTTATAGACACGCTCATTTCCTGTCATCCTCGATCGAGAGTACTTGATCGCCTTATAAATTCTTCGCAAGTGTTCCGGCATTCGCGAGAAGAATGACTTTCACAATTTGACGAGTCCTCGGTTTCAAGCTGTCGACTGTCGAGTAGATATTGGTATTTGCTCTGCATAGCGACGTGTCGTATGACACGTGTCTATTTTTGCTTTGTCGTTTCATTTCTGCCTCGCAACGAATTCTTCAACTCTTCATTCTTTTCTGTTGCGTATCCTCGTTGAATTTGTCAATTTGCAAATTCGCGTTATCATTATTTCAGATTTTAAATTCTAAACTAGATTAGATAGATTATTTTATAATTATTTTCAGAAAATTATGAATTTTCGTATGTTTTACAGAAGTGTAGCCAGTGCGCGATAACATCGATAAAGCGAAACAGGCACATATGTGACGTTAACAAGAGAGAGGCAGTTTCTCTTCGCTTCTCCGTTGCTTCCATTGTTCTTCCGTTGTTGTTTCAGTCGCTCCGAATAACTTTGTCTGTTGTTCAGAGCAATCCATCAGCGTATTGCGTTTATATACGCCTATCATCTATCTTCGCGATTCGTAAGTTTCTCTGGTTTTCGCCCACTCTTGCGTTGTCGCTCTCATCAAGTAGACTTGTTAGTCAAAGCGCGATGGCCAATTTTCTCCTCTTGAAATCATGCATATTCCAAATATGGATGAGATAGATGCAAGTATATGTATAGACTGTTATTTAAGAGCGTCCTTTGTCGCGTCTTCTTATACGTTTGATTTATATTTAATTAATTGATTATATTTAAAATACATATAATAAATAAATATTATTAATAAATTGATAATAATATTAATCCGTTGCCTTACGATAAAGTTAGCAATAAAATAGAAATAATACAAAAATAACAATTTTAGAATTTATAAACTTTTGATCCCTATATACTTTTCAATTCTTATAATCTTTTATATGATTAATATAATAAATGTTTGAGAGGTTCTTAACTCCAATTCAATGTTAATATCAAATTTTTACATATGCGTATATAGAGTGTCTTTGAATTGAGGGTACAACAGAAAAATAAATCATTACAAGAAAAATAAGTCGAGAATATGGAATAAAATTTTCTCGCAGGTTTTGATGTCAAGAAAAATAATTGTGTGTAAATCGAAAAATTAGTAATATATTTATACTTACATTTAAAATTGAAATGATTGCATCGTGTTATCAAATTCGTTTTGCTAAAGGCTATTAATATCGATATAATAATATAAAGGCTATTAATATAATAATACAATAAAAATATAATTCTCTATTTAATGAAATAATTTAAGTTGTTAAAGAAATTAATATGAAATTTAACATGTGTAAAATATATAAACGTTTTTTTTTCGAGATATAGAATGTTATATCTTTTTATATATATCTTTATAATCGTTGATGAAACATGTTTTTGTTGCTATATGATACAAAGTCTTTAGACGTCTAAGCTAAAAAATGTGTTGTAAATTTTCCATTCTATGTGAATTATTTTTTCCCAAAAATGATATTTATTTGTATGGAAAAACTTGATTCTACATTTTTATTTTTATTTTTTATTAGAAATCATTCTTTTCCTGTTGTACCGCAGTACCGCAGTAGTTCGGAAAAATTCTGTATTTATGGTATCTCAAATTTTTGTTTTCGTTCAAACGCACTTTGTGTAGTGAAGAATATGACAACGCGTTTACCGTTTATCGTCATTTAATTTCCGGTTGAGAGAACGGTAGAGAAACGAGGATCGTTTCCTTAGAAGTCGTTTTCGATACTGACGAATGTTATGTTCTTCGGACAGATGAGCGATTCCTGTGAGCAATTTTATCGCGCCGCGAGGAATTTCAGTGACGGCGGAGAAACATTGAGGAATGCCCTTATGCCTATAGATTCTCGAGAGTACACAACACACACACACACACACAAACACACACACAGTCGTATTTTAGACAGCTCAACTGCAAAGGCGAGCAATATGACGAATTTCGGGATTTTTGTTTCCCTGTCGAAGAATGTCACCTATTATTTTATGTGATGACACAAATATGTTTACCAGTTTCGTGTTGAGTAATAAAAACGACAAAACATTTCTCGAAATGTCATTCAGCAGAAAAGAAATGCGAAAATCCGCGATTGAATTGATATTTCGAATCATTACGTGTAAATTTTAAATATCCAACAAGAAAACAACTCCGCTAAAAATTATTATTAGTTTTTAAGTAACTTAACTTGAATGCTCGAGCTGAGATTGATTTTATTTTACTTATTATCTACTTAGCGATATAGTTGGCGGAATGATACGCAATGAAAGCTCCACTTTCTCGCTTTGACGATAGAAACGTGATGCGCGGGTGGACACTGATATCGCGTATCGGAGAAAGCAAAAAGATATCACAAGAGGAGAATACTTTTTCGCGCAAAAAACGACTTTATTGGCGCATCATGTCGTACGAAATATCGCGAAAGCGTTTTATTATCTCTTAGGAATTTATATATACCTATATATATACAATACATATGTTGTGTGTGTGTGTGTGTGTGCTTGTGATTAAAAATTCTGCAAACTTTTGGATTTGATTTTATTAAGGCAATATTACGTTAACAGAGATATTCTAGCGTTATAACTGAAAGAGCTATGCGAAAACAAAGGAGAAAGACTGTTAGATTATGTCACTGCTGCAAATCAGTGATAGACACCAACGACTAATTCGCCTAAAATGTCCGACAACCGATGAATTTGCTCCACTTCGCGGCCAGAAATTGAAAGGAGCTGGAAAATCACATTTACCTACCTACCTACATTGAAGAAATTGAATCGAAGCGCGCATTTCTCGTTCCACATTTGTCTCTCATTAGATCTTGGTGAGAATCTATGCGCTTGCTTACCAGCCAACCTCGGCTCCACTCGGCGCTGTCTATTATTTTCCCACAAACAATTCCGCGCCCATTGCTGCAAAGTTTGCCCCGATTTGGCGTTCGTTCATTTATGTTCGATCAACAATAATGATAGATTCGCGATAGCACTGGAATACAAGTGAATTAAACGATAGACAGACGTTAAAATACCATTAAATATTGTTGTAAAAAGATTGTTCCGTGCCAAGAACGAGTCACTCAATTTAAATCAATTAACTTTTGTGTTATAACTTATGAATCTAATATGTATGAATTTCTTTGCTTTAGCAAGATTGCTTAGCTTTAGCTAAAATTGCAAATTTAAGAACGATAGATTTAAATTAATTAGAGAAGAACGCTATTTTCGGTCTGGACTGGATCTTGGAAGCCTTTATAATATTATTTATGTAAATAATATTTTTTTGTCAACACTTTTACGCCTTAGCCAACCATACGTCGTTACTTACGGTCTTTAAAGCCATAGAGATTTTGATACGATAGAATTCTGAATCTTGCTGCCTCTCTCTCTGGTACGCGTATACTTGAATACAGACTCTAGAAAGGACATTAATATATACCGTTTTAAACAACCTTAAAATTTATGATAGTCAGAACTTATGATATACAGAATTCTTTAAAATATTTCTTATAATAGATAACTTTGCTCAATTTTATCGAGAACATCTTTCTTTACGTGACGTTGCAAGATTCGCTCGTGGCGACGACCCTTGTGGGAGAACTTATTTCCTTTCCAACATTTTTCATGTAAATTCCCCGAAGCGTTTAGGTGCGTTGATATACTTTGGGGCTCGAAAAGATTGCAGATTTTTCAGGCCAAACTGGGGATTACATCCCTATAAATCCTCTTTTTCAGCAGGCTGTACTTTTGACGAGAGATCTGCTTGAAGCATCTTTTAATATACGGATACGTGGCCGGAATAAGATCATAAATGGGACACTCAATTGATACGTGATTAATAATAGCACGGAATGAATAAGTCGTTCGCGCCGCGATCGCATTTCGTTACTATTACATGCTCTATTATCGCGATCAATACATCACAGTGCAACACGAGGGGAGTAATAAACCTTATCGGAGATATAGCACACGCATAATTGAAAACGATCGGGACACGCGAGAAATAAGAGAGAGAAAGAGAGAGAAACGTTACTAATTTGCATCCTGGATTTCTTTTCTTATAAGATCTTCTAATTACGTAAAGTAACGCCTAATGCGCTTTTTCTTAATCGCATTACACGCTCTTTCTTGCAATGTCCTGATTTCACTTGATTGAAATGTATTAACAGTAATTCACAGTTAATAAGTAATTGACAATATTATTTCTCTCTAATTGATTGTACGTCATAGGGTCACTATTTCCAATGTCTGTTAACTTCTAACCGACGGTTAACTTTTCAGAAAAGCGAATAGAAATCGGCTATTTTGAAAATTAATCGTCATTTATAGAGATTAACAAGCATCGGAAATAGTGATTCACGACGGTTAATTTTCAAAAAAGCCAAGTTAACCGTCGGTTAGAGATTAACAGACGTTGAAAATAGTGACCCATAAACGGTTATGCTTTACTTATTATTATTAATAATAATAAGTGAATTTAACCGATATGTGAATAACACAAATAGATAGAAGTGCTTTATATGGTCGCGCTAAATCTTTAATTGTGCCTAATAACATTTTTATGTGAATGTACCTACCTATATAAATTTTTCCGCTCAGCAAACTACACGCCGATGTTTTGACATGCTGTCGGTTTTGACAGACAGTCTCAAGCTGAAGCTGAAACAGTACAATCACATAACTAAATTGATAATCACATAACTAATTTAACAATAATCAGGCTAATACCATTATTAAAACCACCGCAAAGGATTAGTTGTGAAAAATATCATCTCAGGGTGATATTTGTAAAAATATATTAATTTATGTTCGAAGCTAACAACAAGTATATTCGAAAATAAATTTCACGGACGGTAAACAATAAAGAAACGACTTTGCAAAGTATGTAGTATTAACTTACTTTTTACAGGCCATTATTTTAAATACAATCTTGATATCTGAAAAAGCTTTCGCTTTACTGTGGCCTTTCGTAATACAATCTGTTTACTCGCGCGGCTTATCGCCTATAAACGTAATCGCTTTTATAAACGCGATTATTTTTCCACGTGAGTTCACATAGACAGATCGACTTGCCAAACAAAGTGTATTATAGTCATCGATATCTCAAATTTTTTTCTTTTTTCCAGCTTTTTATTTTTATTTTGATTAATATTAAAAATTGTGCTTGTTATTGCAATTAATGTGCTTAACGTTAAAAATTATGGTTGTCATTATGACTGTTTCAGGATTGAAAGTATTATTACGGTACCGAAGCACGTTATTTCAGTTCCCCTCTGTTCAAACGTTCGTCGCTATCGCAAATATCTCTCCTCCCTGCACATACATAATTTAAAGTGCGTTTCTCAAAGAAACCTTGCTCGTAAACGTAATAATGTCGCTGAAAGTATTCCTCGACCCATCTTTGAGAAAGCCTGTCGCGCGATGTTTCCCTCAGCTATAACGGCTTCCATCCGTTCTTATTTAAAAATGACGAAAGTTCGGTTCAATTTCTCGCGGCGCCGAAATAATTCATCCCGACTTAAACGGTCGGGACCGGACCGGTATATAGGCGGGAGGCGGAGGCGCGACGGCTTGAAAGCGGGCACTTAGCGCCCCGCCGGCATAAGAAGGTGGTTGCCGGATTCTCATTACGTCCATCATCGAAGCGAAAGCCCGGTCGATTGGGTGCGACGGAGCTTTTCCGACCCGCACCGGCTAGACCGTATCTTTTGTCTAAGCACCTGTTGCGATCCACTCGGGACTATGCGAGGAGGTGAGATTGCCGCTACCTCCGACGCTGGATTTAGTCATCTCGAATGCATAGTTATGCGCGTATCCTTCTACAATGTCTAACGGCAAATGCAAACGTGTAACTTATTGCGCCGCCGAGATTGTACGTATACGAGCTTCACGTGCTGGGAAAACGTGTAGAATATGTTCGCTTAAAAATTTCGAAATTAATAAATCGTCGATCCGCGATATCCGCGAATAAATTGCGCGGTCCGCGTCTCCTCTAAGAGGATTTAATATCCCATTGCGGTCCCTTAGCTTCAATGCATATGATATTCTTGTTGCATCTAAATGAGATGTTCTCGCATTTCCTGGCATAATACCGCGTGCGTGTACACAATTTCTATAGATAGTCGCGATATGCATATGTACATACGAGTATGCGTGGTGTATAACAGGAAATGTAAATCGCGGGGCGTAATACCCCGGTAAAACTGACACGAGAGAAACTATACTGACAAACGTCGTCATTTACAATAGGTAAAGTGATTTTCCCAAACGGCGTTTCACGAAGAAAGAAAACATGTCCGTGATGCGAAAGGATTGAAGAAAAAGGGAAGAGGGAAAAAGAAGAATCAAAGAAGAATTACTTCAGCAGAATTGCACTTTTTGCCCAGACAGCATGCATGTCCAAAATTGCGACATAAGACGTCTTAAAGACATTTAAGACGTCTTAAGTCCCGATTTTGAACATGCTGTCTGAGTACATTATGACGCTTACGATCGCGTTGAGAATCCGTGAAAGATCATACTGGCAGCTCCCTCGAGAGGGAAGAAGCGAGAGAAATGGAGTGGATGTTAAATCGCGACGAATGGATAACGGAAAGGGTGAAGTACTCAGGTGGAGGGATCGGGTGCGGAAGCGATGCGCATAGACGAGCGCAGGCGAAGACGAAGGCGAAGGTGGTGGCGTAGCCTGTGGTGGTGGTGATGGTAGCGAGTGGTAGACACGCACATGGATTTGACTGCGGCCGCGATGACGTTAAGAATAACGAACGAGGCCGAGGGCAAGAGCGAGGCTGCGACCCGACACTGACTCGCAACGGAGGCTCCGTTACTATCATTATACATATAGCGCGCCTATACAGCATGTCCGGTATAGCACTCATACGTAGAGTCTGTGCGGCGTCTGGCATGGTCGTTTTGCGCTCTGCAGCGGTTCTCAGGAAACCAGGTAGTGCCCCTTGTCCACTGTTAATCATAGCGATCGTCTACTTGATGAGCAAAATATTATTAACGCACTGTCACTGCGCTATTATAACGATATTTGATAACGATTAACATTCTTGAAACGTAGTATTTGATATTACGTCATAATTGACGTTGGTACTGATGTCAGTTGCAACTACATTATAAAACATGTCTGGAGTAATATTTTTACAATATTTGAAGATGTCGTGTATTTTTAAATGACATTTTTTTAAATATTTAAGTCAAACATTATGTGAGAATATTTAAAAACTGCGCATGGTATCAATATTATCGCAAATATGGATCTATTATTTCTTGTTTATTAAACACCTAAAAAAGAACGTTAAAAATATATAAAAAGACGCCAAGTATATTTTGCAGTGTGTTTACGCAAAGTTATTTTGTAAATGATATTAGGCGAAAGACTAAATTATTTACATATTTTGCAATTGGCACACAATTCAACTATTTATTTAAACCGCAGCTTGAAAATTCTCTTGAGAATTCTCTTGTACGTACCATTTACAGTTCTGACTAATTTAACAAGTTTAATTCCGAAAAACTCATTCGATAAACAACTGGAATTTGCAACACGCTTACAGAATATCGTATTCAGCCGCTCATAAAAAAGCCGTGTATTTTCTAAAACCGCAATGAAAAAGACCAAACATAATGCCATGAAAAAGAAGTGTTAGATATACTCAGACATTTACATATATTAAATGTGAGTAAAATCGCAGTAGACAACCGAACATAGTAAATCGGTTTTAAGAGTATTTATTTACAAATTTATACGATAGATTATTTTCAAAATAGTTACGTTTAGTTAGTTCTCTGTTATTTTATTTAAAATGCAAGTTATTAATAAAATAATATGCATGCTGTAAAAATAATGGCGACCTGTCTAATATCGATCAATCCTTTTTTAAATTAAAGTTAATTAAATTTATATGATGGTATCTATTAAACAACGACGAGAATCGGAGAATTCGTTTTGGGGGTGATTCTTGGAGAACCCCTAATGCAGGGAGAGACCGCGGGCGCAGCAAACCTTTAGCACTACCTCGCGCCGATTCACGGCAATGCGGTACTCCTATCTATGTTTAATAGACTGCATAGGCGGCGGTTGCAACATCGCTCGTGACTGCGTGTCTTCTGTAAATCCCAGAAAGAGCGAAATATAGAATAAAAGTGTTCCTAGCTGGTTTACTTATGTCACGTTATAAAATGCGACTGTACGTTATGTTTACGGTATCAATTTGAGCCAATGTGACAACGTGATATTTTTCAGGATTGATAAAACATCGGTATTATCGCGGAATTATTGTGAGGAAATTTGTAGGCAGAGAGGATAATAAAAGTCGCAGCAAATTTTGGTTTATTAAATTATTTGCTTTATTCTTGAATCTTGATATAAGTAAAAATACGTAGAAAATTTTGGAACCAAGATTTTTTATATTTTAAGAAAAATTTTTTAGTTTTTATTTAATTTCACGCGTTCTTTATTTTACAAATTTATGATTCTACATAGATTTCTCTTTCTGTAGAATTTTAACAAGTCAATGTAAAACTTCGAACTATTGAGAGAGAAAAGGGCGTTTTTCCAATTTGATAAGTCCTTAATTGATTCTTTTCGTTTGCATATATACTTTTTCGCGAGATGCATATTTTTGTCAAATATATATTGTTCTAATATTTTCTTCAATTAATAATAGCTGAAAATGTTTTTTGGTAGATAATTTAATGTATACATTATAAATTAGTATCCATAATTATTTATTTTACTGAAAATCAAATTACGTTAAGCAAAAGCAATTATTTCTCTTGATTCCACAAGATCATTTTAACTTTAGATAAATATAGTTAAATATATATTAATATTTACTTTTAGAATTAATTACTCTCCGGAGTTATACATTTAGATTGTTTCTATGCGTATATATAAAAGCATAATAAGCGACATTAAAAACGAATAAATTGTCAAACTACAGCCGTAACATTATTAAATATGCAAGCGAGCGTAAGAATATATACTTGTATAGGATTTGCATATTTGTCAGTCGATCTAGCAGACGATAATTCTATTTCCGCTTTAATTATTAATATAAGTAGAAATACTTGCACATCACATTTATTAGATGGAAAAGAAAAATATAATAGAGGAAGAGTATACATATATCATACGGTTAAAAACAATATTAAAAATTTCTGGTATATATTTTAATATCTCTAAACGTCGCAATCTTTCAAGTGCAGTTCCGATCAAATGAACAACCGTGTCACCGTTATTGAAATTATTCCTATACAATCGTTTAAAAAATCGTATTGTCTTTTCCATTGCTTTTCATTTTTCAACTGCTCGAATCGTGACAACATCATCGATATTCGCGCGAGTGTTTTTCTGCCCGACTGGCTGTCTGGCACATGGATTTATCCACGTAGGATATTTCGCGGTCTGGCTGTATAACTATCGACCATGTCTACGCATGTTGCAAGATATAAAGCGGTATATCCAAGCAAAATAAACTGTCACATCATATTCCGCTGTCATTCGCCAAATGCGAGTAAATTCACGTAATGAGGGTAGGTACGTTTTTCTCGTGCAGATGATTGAAGTCCACTATTAAAATTTTTATTACTGCGCATTTAATTTATATCAGATTATTATTTGAATATTTTCTTCAATTAATAAT